CTGAAACCAGAAAACCCTATCTGCTCCGTAAGTAAAGGCATCCCGACCGACTTCAAGCACGGAAAAGGCATGCGAAGAAAAGAATCTTATAACATGGACTGTAATGTAACTGTAATGGCCAGAACCGCTCCGAGCAGGATTCCTTGATCTTCTGAATAACTGTTTGGAATGGAGATCAGCTGACTTCAGTGCGGCGCAACACCAGTGAAGCAAAGATTTTGTATGAATCGGACCTTGTACTGGTCTCAACTGTTAACCTGGAAACACCAGACCCTTGATATGAGAGGCTTAATGGGACTGACTATGAGGCCGCGGAAAGTACTTCTTTACTCATGTTTTAAAGAAAATCTCTTCTGTCAAGTCCCTGAATACGGATAGCACTAGCATGGGATGCGACCTTACATACTTCTGATTCACAGCTGGGCTTGCTGACTGAGTGCATAAGTGTGTTTACAAGGGCAGTGGATATTACTCCCTTGTGGCGAGCCTAATGCCTGATCACCGAAAACACGAAGTCCTGTGCACCGTAATCTTGCCTTTCTTGATTTTCCTTTATCAACAATAGCGTTAGTGTGATAGCGATAAGGGGGGGGGGAGGGGAGGATACCTGAGGGATAAAGACAGAGTTACCAATGCTTGTCGTGTCACTTGCGTCCCAGAGCCTCCCCCTCCCTAGCCCCCTCCCCCCCCCTCACCATCAGGATATGGAGGCCGTGGCAGTGAGGCCGCGACCTCATAAGTCCCCGCATAAACATGGCTCAGCAAACCCTCAGCGTCGCCATAACAGTAAAATAAATATAAGTCCAAATGCAAGTTTCATCAGCGCGACCAGACACGGGGTTGCAGAGCTTTATGCACGATATAACCAGTTTCGACAGTAGGTCCACGATACGCTAATTAAATATTCAAGTTCTGTAAGACGTGCACGGTGGGCGTTTGAATCTTAAAATTATCACTCTTGACAGGCTACATTAATTAAACTTCAATTTACGCAGTGATTCAATTGTGGCCCATGAGAAACTGGTTCCGTAGGGGACGGCGGAGCGGGCGGGAGACTGAGGGATGAGAGGGGGGAGGAGGGCGGGGGGAAGATGGCAGTGACCAGCCTTAAGATAGCAGGTAACCCGCCCACAAGGTCTGCCGCTGTTGCCGCTGCCGCTCAGACGGGCTGTTTACCTGTCTCATCCCTTCGGACCTTGACCCACGCTGCTGCCTCGCCGCCCGCCCCGCAAGGACCTCGAGGACGAGACTGCGCGGAGATACGGGCGGCCAGGACACCGTCGGCGACCTGAAGGACTGGTCTCCTACGGCCGATACACGACGACCGATCAAGAGATTCAGAAGAACAGGTATGCACATCACGAGGAAACAGACACAGGAGGAGCCCCGAAAATGGGAAGGAACTTACAGTCAAGTGGGTCCTGCACAGCCACGGGCGAAACTCCCGTCAAACGTGTTTCGAATTCCGCCTCGAACGCCCGAATAATGTGACCCTTGTTAAGTTCCGCGGGTTTCGGCGCACCGTTCACGACGCGACTTCTACCCGTGACCGCACAAGAAGCCAGCGGAAAAGGAACGTAGGAGACCCATAGAGAAGCATAAACGTGGGACGAGTGAACTACAACTGTATAGAAGCACCTCATTCGGAGCGAAATTCAACCAGAGTATTGAGTAACATACGGCAGCAAAAGAGAAAATAAACATAGGTATATCTTAGCTACAGAAGTCAAACATCGCAGCCAGATTTACAAGATGGTGGGATCATATCATTCATATTATGATCAGAGAAATTCGAACAGAGTATTCACTAACTTATGACAATATGACAATATGGGTATATTCTAGTTACAAAAGACAAACAGCACAACCAGGTGGAGATGTTACATAATTAATGCTACAATCTATAACCCCTTTCTTCCTGTATCCAAAAGCATACTTAGCATTTTTCCAAGGTCTGCAATTCAAGGTAAACACGGCTCTATATCAAGATTAGTAATAATGCACATTTTACAGCACCTGTTCAGAAGAAAAAAAACTGAGCCAGGTTACAATATCACTTCGCAATAATACTGTTAATAGTGACAGAGAGTATCAATGAACGGGGAGGAAATTACACACCGATACCTAATCTATTACAAGGTATAATTCCGTTCTTATTGTAGTAAATTCCGAGAAGGCCGAACGCAAAATCGTTCCCTCTAAGCCAACACCCGCGTGAGATCAGGTTCGGGCAGCATTTTAAGGCCGAGGAGAAGGAAAAACTTTGCAAAAGACAAAGTGATAAGAATCGTGGCTATTCCTCGTCTCTGATCCGACCTCCACCACTCTGTCTGTCTGTATGTCTGTCTCTCGGTCTGTATGTTTGTCTCCCTCTCCCTCCCACACGTAAATTAGTTAATCTTACTCCCTCCCTCCCTCCCTCTCTCCTTCCCTTCTTCCCTCCCTCTCTCCATTCCTCTCCCTCTCCTTCCTCTCCCTCCCTCCCTCCCTCCCTCCCTCC